AGTCGTAGCCACCGGCCTTCTCAATGTCATGCTTCTCGTTGACAGGGTGGCGCTGGTGGAGGTTGGTGCTGTCAACACCAATGGGCGTGAATTGGCTGGCGCTGTCAAGACCACTGGGGCGGAACAACTTGCTGGTCGGCTCGTCTGTGGTTCCGGTGGTGTAGACAACGTTGTCAGGGTGGGCCGCACGCGCGCTGTGGTGCACGTGTTCGTGGTGGTGCTCGCGCGCAATGTCTAGCGCCGGGTCGTCATTGCGGGCGACACCGGGCATTGGTGAGCCGTTGTGTTGGTCGCGGATATCAGCCATGGCGACGAATAGGCACAAGGGCAATTCCTGAACAGAGGTTGAACGACGAGGAACTGTTGGTTCTCATATCGAGGTCGGCCCTCGCGGAATTATATTTTCGCACCGTGGCACGCGCTACCACCAAAGTGGAGGGATCGCACCGTCGCTGGCCCAGACAAACAGTTGAACGGGCTCCAGACGGTCACTTGGCAACTTCCTCTTTTGCACTGGCTAGAGCACAGTAGCACAGGGTTCCATTGGCTCCCGGTCGTCTCCGCTTTCTGGAATATCTACCGTCTCATGTTGGTGCTCGCTTACTCGCTGTTCACACGCCTGTCTCTTGTGTCAACCCGACCCAGTACCGGCCGACCTACCGCGCTTCTGCAACCCGGACCAGGTTCTTATCTTTCCCCAGCCTTGATAGCCCGTCCAAGCGCCAATCACGGAGATGAACGTGCTGGAACGCCCGCCCAGTCCGTGATAAGCGGCGGCGAATATGCGACCCTCCTCGGTTGAGGCTCTGTTTTGGGCTTCGCGTGGCGTTCTCGAAGCAACACCTCTGCCTTGACAACCCGACCTCCATCGTCTTCCCCGAGGTCGACGTTTCCGCTGCCCTGGGTCATGTGCAGAAGCAATTGCCAGGGTCTCGCAGCAATTACACAGGCACAGGGGCGAAGACAGCATCTGCGAACCGTTGCTGAATTTCGCCTGTACTTTGTCTTTGTGGACCCTCCGGAATGCAGATCAGACCGGGTACTCCGTCTGACGCAAGGAGACCAACCCACTCCTATCAGTACGCTGCAGCGGGACACGCGCGAACGCCATGGTAGCACACGGCGTGCGCCTCCATCAGCGAGTGTTGGATTGGTGTCCTTCAATGCTATCTGACCAACAGGTCTCGACCAGCGCTATCACCATCATTCCGATAACCAGGTCTGCGCTAGGGACGCTGGACCACCGAGCGCGCTTGTGGTGTCCTGCAGCTGAGGGAAGCTGGGGTTCTTATCACGAGGGCACGCATCGAGATATATGCGCCGAATCATGTCGCGGACTTCGCCTGTGTATACACTTTGGATAGCCGCTGTCTTGGCTGGCCGAGCGATCCTGACATGCTTTTGGACGCCAGACGCATTGTAATGAATGCCGTTCAAGATCCGCAGGTGGCCTTGGGACTAGCCTTGTCCCTTCCCCGCAGCGGGCCCAGCTCCATGCGGTAGCACATCGTGTGGGCTGGCATCATTTCAAGCTGGACTGCGAAGCCAGCCCTCCCGAATTCCTACTTCACAGTGCTCATCACATGGGGAAATGTCTGCATCGCGTTGCTCCAGCTTAACGTCTCACGCAGTACACTAGGCCCAGTCGTCGGCACTTCTCCCATGTCAGGCTTACCACCCCACCCGAGGCCAACCGAATGGTTACAATTTACTGTACCTAATCATACTTTACGTGGCGTCTGCTAAGAGCACAATCACGGAATACCAATAACTAAGAGGCACAGCCATCCGCGGAGCCTCCATTCACTGATTACATATGTTCGATTCGAAGGATCATGGTCGATGCAGCACCTTATTCGCAATCCGGAACACTTACTTTTTGCATCCGTGCTGTCCGTCATCTCGGTGAGTTCCTATCAGTGTCTGGAAGAGAGTCTCCACTTTCCGAGACGAAACACGGGTGAGGAATACATGTGTGTGTACACCACGTCAAGCAAACACGAGCCTATACATCTGCGCTATTGCGTAAGGCCTGTCGACTAATGTTAGGTGCAAATCATAGCGATATCACGATTGTAATCGTATGTTTGCGAAGCACACGCCGGGACTACTAAAGCCGATCTAGGTACACCCATCAGCAATAGGAACACCCAGATCCAGTGCACAGCGCCATATTGGGCTTGTGGATTGAATTGTTTAACGCACTTTCTTTTGGGTAAGTCATCTTTCGTTAGAATTGTTGTGCTTTCACTTGATCAAATCACGGTTCCCCCGGAACACGATCAGCGCAGCCTCCGAACGACTTGAGGCTACTCTCGCGTGATTTATCCCAACGAGCTTAGCATCCTCATCCTCTTCGTCCACCGCACTGCAGCTCATACTTCCTAGCGCGCACTGCACAAGCCTTTACCATCCACAAAGCTTGTTCCCTCGCTTCTCTGTCGTGGCTGTCACGTAGACGAGCACCATATCCCGTCACTAAACCGCGAAGCCTTGTTCAAATCTCATCAACCGAGTACATCAAACGCTACGGACGCCACAATAAGGTTGCGGGACACGACATGTTAGCATTGTGCAATTGCACCAAACATGTTTGGCGTACGGTTACCTACTTTCGACTAGGTTGATCACAGAATCTGGTCCCACGTACCTAGCTTTGCGAACGTGTGCTTGGTGCTACCGCGTGCTAACCCGTGATGTGAACCTCATGCGAAGAGCAAACACGAAATCACACATTTCGTGATTTGAAAGTATGCAATAATATTGACAGGTGTCAACAGTGCTCGCGTAGAGTTGCGTGACGGTTCGTTTTGAAGTGACTCAGTGTGATTTATCGGGGATGTGCTGGGCACAACAGGGAATACATATTGACATTGCAAGTAGGCCACATAGATAAATCAATATTCCAACATCGGTATGCCACTTCATCACACTTTGCGCCCCATATGATTGCTCAACCACATGTCCACAGATTCGCTGCACAGCCAACATCACATTGCATGTTCTCATAAGATGAGTACGAACAAGTGATTCGAATACGTAACGAAAAAGGGTATAATCAGCCCGACCGAACCCTCAAACCAATGCTACCATACCATACACCTAACACCTTACCCAATGCCGCTAAACAACAAGCCTGTTGGTGATGATGATACAAGTTGCCATAACCCACATAACAAACGCCCCCTATGCACGGCAGAATCAGAGTGATGGGACCCCAAACCTCTCACTTGCCTGTCAACTCGCCTTCCAGGTGCTGGTAGTTTGTCAGTCACGATGTTGCTGCGTCAGGCACGAAAGTGTTGAATACTCACCGACCACTCTGGAATGTCACGTATCCGCTGCCACATATATCTTTCCAAACGATTCGCCGCCTTTGCGTACGGCGTGCTTTCATTGTTGTATTTTCGGCAATTGTCGAAGATAAGCTTGGCATCTCTGATAAAGTCCTCGGGGGTAGGATAAAGATCCTTTTCATGTTTCTCCTCCATGGTCGCAAGGTCCATAGGCTCCTTGATGACGTCGTAATAGTCAAGCACCTCATCCTTGTTGACGGGCTGTTGGAACGGCCAGGCGTTGCTGTTGTTCTGCATGTCGTTAAGGAGATGGAGAAGGGCATTGTAGTTGGGTCCGTGGCGGGGCGCGCGAGCGAGTTCGTCCATGACAGGTGACCAGCCGGAGTTCTTGATGGCAGGAATGGTCAGAGGGTCGATGGCTTTCAGTTCGCCCTTTGCCCATTGCGTTGGCGGCGCGTGGACTTCGTAGCTCTTGCTCACAGCCCTTATCTTGGCGTTTGCGCATTCCTTCTGCTTCAAGAGCATTCTGCCGCTTTCCAAGTATCTTATCTTGGGCACCATGCTACACTGCATGATGGTGCCGCCTTCGTAGTCCTTGATGTAGCCCATCCATCTTGACTTTTCCAGGGTAATCTCTTTGGTGAAGCCTTGTTTTTTGAAGTATCCGATGGCGTAGTTGTCGGCGTAGGTCAAGAAGTGCATGACCTGCGAGGTGGCTTTAACGTAGTCTTTGAGATGTGACATGAGATGGGCACCGTAGCCCTTAACCTGCTGATCAGAGGAGATGGCGCAAAAGACGATTTCGGCGAACTGGCCTTTGTCGAAGGGACGGTATGTTATGCCACTGGAACGTTGTATTGTCAGCGTCTGACCAGACATGGGACGAGAGCCTTAACATACCCTACCACCTCGAGGGGATGTTTCACGATGGCTATGCTCAGATGGGTTCTGTCGTAGACGAGGCGCGCAATGTAGTCTTTTGGCATCTTGGGCAACTGTTTCTGGAAGATACACTTCAAGCCTGTCAAGATGATGGTGCTCTCCCTCTCCCCATCATTGTTGACTACTCTGAATTCAATCTCCCCATTGCGCTCTTCTATGACGGCGGGTTTCTCGGGGAATGGCACTATACGTTTCACGGGAGGCGCGGGGGCATCGTCGGCGGCAGAAGGTGTCGAGGGGTCCTGCTTTATGCGCTTGGGAGAGCCGTTGGGAGGGTCGGTGGTTGCCTTGCGCTTAGCTTCATCGCGAGCCAGGTTAGCTTGTAGTTCGCGAAGTCGTGTGTTGGAAGAAGACTGCCGGGTGTGTCGGCGAGGTATGGGGGGAGGAGCGAGCAGTGGTGAAGTTGGGGGAGAGGTGGGATAGCCCAGCACGTCGCGCAACTGCGGGATGTCGTTGCGGGGAGACATGCCCGGCTTGTGGGTACGATGCACGTCTGTTGACGCGCATGAAGCTGGAGAGGGTATGCGCACTTACTGTCGTCGGTCGCGCCCGCCATGTTGCAGTGTAGGGCGCCTTCTGTGTGCCGTCGCGCCTTCTCTCAGCCCTGTGCGTGGTGTTGACTGAATGTCGGGGAAGTTGCGCCTCCCGCGCTAGTCGCCCCACACCAATCACGGCCGATCACCTGCGAGTGAACACGAAAGGCCACCAAAGCAGCTTCACGAGAGAGAGACACTTACATAACCCAATTGCACGCCTGCACACATGTCGAGCCCACTTGTAGACGTCTGGGAGGCTGCCGCGTCCTCGCCCTTCAGCCCTGCTGTCGGAAAGAACACGCAGTTTACAGTCGGCTTCGTGCTGCTGGCCATCTGTATGTTGGAAGCTTTGCTGCTTAGTGGACCTCTGCTAACAAGGCGCGCAGCTCTCATCTTGACTACCATCTTCGGCTTGAGTACGCGACATAGCCACGCCCCTCTAGCGAACCCTACTCATGCGCACACAGACCGCTCCTTCATCAACCTCCCCGTTCTCGGTGTTCCCGCGTCATTAGCATTCGGGTACGTGGCCTCGGAAACCCAGCTACAACATGCGCCCACTGACTGCAAACAGCTTCGGCGCCGTCTACATGATCTGTGCAGTCGGCGTATACGTCTAGTTTCCTACTTCTCCATCCGGCGTTAGGGGCATACTGTGTACAATCTATGGAATACCAATAAAAAGTTCAAGACTCTCGAATCTACCTGCGCGATAGCCCGTACCCTCACACTCACAACACAGCACCATGGACGAAGAAGAGCCCCCGATCCTCACAGCAGTGTCGAGCTCTGCGCGACAATTGTACCTCCTCCTCCGCTGCATCGCCTTCTCCAACAAGGCTCATGTCCAGATCAGCGACATTGGCATGAAGCTCGCTGTGGATGAGGCGAGCGTCATGGAAGGTACGTAATGCCTATATGCAATGTGCTTTTGCACATTCCAGATCTGACACGACTACAGCATCCGCCTTCCTCGACAAGTCTCTCTTCACAACCTACACCTTCAATGCGCGCGCCGCACCGCCGAACTCACAACACTCCGACAGCGACGATGAACTCGACCCAACATCTACTACCACTCCCGCGTTTCAAATATCTCTTCCCGCTCTCCTTGAGACCCTCCAGATCTTCGGCCTCACCGACCCCTCCACTTCCAAACCACCATGGGCGCGCGATGGTGCATATCCCACCAGCACAGCCTTCACTGGAAACAACATACTAGGCGGCATGAACAACCTCTGTCGAATAAGCTACGATGGCCCCGGTGCTCCACTGGCGGTCACTTTGACAGAGGCGAGCATACGCACGCAATGCGATCTCACGACGTACGAGCCAGAGTACACAGACGAAATACCTTTCGATCGACAAGCCCTCGCCCTGAAAATCATCATGCGAGGCAGCTGGCTGTATGACGCAGTACAAGAGCTATCATCGACAAGCCCAGAGAAGCTGACCATGTACGCCAAAACCGTGCGCGGCAAGCCCTTCTTCGCTCTATCGTCATCAGGCACTCTAGGCTCAGCACGCGTCGAGTTCAACAATCAGCCCCAGCCCTCTGCCTACCGCACTCCTGCATCCACGAACCTCAACACGAACAATGAGGCAGCAGATCAGAAACCTACCAATCTGCTCGAGACCTTTCAGCTCAGCGATCCACAAGCCGTACTCCGCTCGTCCTACAAGTTTAGCTTGATACAAAAGGCCGCGCGCGCCATGAACGTTGCGACTAAAGTCAGTATACGAGCCGATACCCAAGGCGTGTTGAGTCTACAGTTCATGATTGAGGTCGAAGGCAGTGGGTCGGCTTCTCAGACTGGACCTGGAGGGGCCACAGGCGGACAAGTGAGTTTCGTCGACTTTCGCTTCGTTCCGCTGGTAGAAGAGGATGACGAGGAGGCCGAGGGCGCAGACGTTGACGAGACCCTGATGCACAATGGCCCAGGAAGCGATGGCGAGAGTGGCGCTTACGATATGCTATGAGAGCATGATAGGCATCACTACTGGCAGAAAACAGGGAGCTTGAGCTCAGCATATGCCGATTTTGCCAATTCTTATATTTGCTAGTCTGTCCAGACCCGAACAGAGTAGGAAATGAAATCCACAATCGTAGAATGTCTTCTGTGATGAAGCAACCATGAGCCTTTGTTTGGCAGCCTCTTACTTAGAAGTCCTGACGTTTGCTGTGCATATGGCCCCGACCTCGACAATTCCTTCTTTTACTCAAGCTGAAAAACTCCACCTGATGAAATGTAATCCTGCCATGGGGCCCATACGCCAATGCTTGGACATGTGAGGCCAGCCAAAGTTCTAGTCCTGAACTGAGTGCAAAATCAATCTGAATAGCGTAAACTGGGGATACTCAGGACGCCCAGTCGTCCCATCCATAGTTTTATGTAATGCTTCATGGGAATCAGCTTCTTTCTTATTTTCTTCTTTCTCAAGTGTCGCGCGAGGCCATAATATCCAATCTGATGCCCGTTATCGATGTTCGTACCGAGCCGCTTTGTCGTCGCGAAGGGGGGATCGAGCTTGGTGAGTCGTGTATGAGGCGTGCTAGACTCGCGTCTCGATCGAGTGGGGTTCGTGCGCTGCACGGAGCGACTTAGAACTCGAGTTCAGCTACCACGGGCATTAGCAATGGGTGGCGAATGTTCACCATTCGAATTCACCATTTGCTTTGTGGAACAGGTATCTTCCATATCGTTAGCAAAATCTCTTTAAGGTCTCGACACCCAACTTACTCCTTCTTGTTCGTGGTCAAGATGCCGTCCTTGAGCGTGCACTTCCACTTGTTCTTCACGCGCTGGACTTTGTCGTAGGTGCACAACATATAGTCGACCATTTCATCGTCGCTGTTATCACCATCCCCAAGTTCGTCCTCCGAGTCATCTAGGTCAGAGTTAATGGCGTCATCCGGATCCTCTTCTGGCTTCACATCGTCGTCACCGTCGAAGCGCGCGGGAACCGGTGCGCTTGACGAGGCCTCTGCGTCTTCGGCCTGCAGAACACGCATAGCCGCCTTGCGCTTTTTGCCCTTTGGCATCGAATCGAGCGGTACCATGAGACCACTGTCCTGACGCATAGCCATGGCATCAACGCGAGAACGCATGAAGTCGTCCGCCGCCATGCGCTCTACTGCATCAGCAGCGCGTGCGGCCTTCAATGCCTCCCAGTCAGCCATAGCATCACCCGAACCATCAGTCTGTGAGGTGTACATGTGATTTTGCGGTGGGGGACGCTGCTGTGGCATTCCCTGCTGCTGCTGTTGTGGAGGTCGTTGATGCTGCTGCTGCTGTTGTTGCTGCTGTTGCGCCATCATGCGTTGCTGTTGCTGCTGTTGCTGGTTCTGCATAGGCATTTGAGCCAGATGGCCCTGTTGCGCCAGATTGGGAAAGTTCTGCTGCACATGTCCTTGCTGTTGCACTCGCTGCTGTACCAGAGCAGCTGCACGCTGGTGCGCGAGCTGCTGGTTTTGATCATAAGTACCGCCGTAGCCGTTGTTCGCAGTTTGAGCAGGAGGGTAGTTAGCAACTGGTGGCTGATATCCTCCTTCTTGCTTCACGGGCACGTTGGGGAAATTGAGAGCCTCCTGAGGTCCGGACACGGAAGGCATATCATTGTCAACCTTTACGTTGGACGGTACCGTAGGCGGCTGACGAACAGGCTCAGGAGCAGGGTCCCATGGAAAGTGAGCAATCTTGAGAGCGGATAGCCTCTCTTGCCAGCCCTGGCGATAGTCAGTATATGCTCAGCACAACTGCAACAAAACATGATGTGAGAACAGCCGTCACATGACAGACTATGCCTTGTTGGGAAATGATGCGTTGGTCTTGGCGGGTGGGGGAGCTGTGCAGGGGCTATAAGAAGGCATCTCAAATACTGAGGCGCCCCCGGAGCTGCCAGACCGACCGGCAACTCCGCCCCGCTTCCAGCCGCCCATCACCCAAGCCAGGCGGTCACCGCGCGATCGCCGCAGCCAGCGAAACCGATGCGAGGAATGAATTGACAAGAAAAGTGAGAGATATAAAAAGCGGTGTGACGGCGGTCGCAAATGTGCTGCGACAAAGAAAAGGAAGGCGCGCTGGCCGAGATGGAGGCCAGGTTGCAACATACCTGCTTCATCTCGTCGAGCGTGCTATGATCGACGCCCGACTCCTCGAAGTCATTCTGCGAGGTCTGGATCACCTTCTCGATGATCTGCTGGTACACGCCGCCCTGGTGGTTGCTGTTAGCAAGCCTGCCTTTACCCTTCCACCGCTCGCATGCGCGCCTTGGGGATACTAACCACGACCGAGTTCGACATGATCGCGAGTGTTTGATATGGTCTGAGCTATCTAGTATACGATGCGAGCTCTGTGATAGCTGCGCGACGGCTTGTGATGGTTGCTCGCGTGCAGAGGATTGAGGAATAGGCAGGCAAGCCAGGCAGGCGACGTCAGCGCTTGAGGCTGCAGAGAGGTGCGCGCGCTTGAGGAAGCTTCTGCGCGGTCAAGGAAGTTCTACGGATATCGCTAGCCCAGACGGAAGGCTTTGTACGACGTGGTCGGGTGCCCTCAGCTTTCGGGGTCGTGGGTGTATGAGTGATAGTGAGCGGCGTTCCGGCAATCATTGAGGGCGCCGGTTCCTTAGCGCCTAACGCTACTCTAGCGCCACACGTGACCACGCTCACAGCTCAACATCCAAAGAACACGATGCTACGTTCTGGCAGATTCGAAATATAGTAGTGCTCATGATCAATATACATACGAACCGATTCAAATGTTGGTACAAACGTCGTCAGTTCATCAAATGCACCTCAAACAGCCAACTGCATCCCATAAGAAGCAAAACTCCCGCCACTGCACTCGAATCGCACCTGGGTATCTTGGCATGCTCCTCGCAATCGCTACCGGCTAATGGTCATGCACCAAGGCCTTTTGTACCGCTGCATCAACGTCCTTGCGCCTATACCCCGGTGATCGCCCGAGACACACGCCGTGTATAATGATCTCTGTCGTAATTGTCAGCCAACTGTTGACCTCTCGTGGATGTGTACACTCACCATCAATCAGCTTCGAAACGTCTAGCCAGGCAGTCTTCTTCCGTTTCTGCCTCACCACTGGTAGAGCTGCCGCTACATCGCTCATCATGTTCATGCCCAGATCTATGTTGTCCATGTGAAAGGCGGGTGTATGCGAAAACCCATAATCATACCCAGGTGCGAGATCCAAACCTAGGGTCTGATCATAGGAGATTTCGTAGTTGACAAGCCTAGGGTATTCACCAGTGTTTCCAAAAGACAGGTCTAGCCCATAAGCTCCATTATCCGCGATGTTGTAAGAGTTGTTTGGCGGATTTGTCGAAGTGGTTGACGGAGCTGCCGATGCGTTTGCGGAGCTCTGGTGAAGAGGAGGCAGACTCGTCGCACTGTGTGGTCGTTGCCGTAGTGCGCTGTTGGAGGCTCTAGACAGCTCTTCGTCGTCAACCTCGATGACACACTCGGCGAACGAGCTCTTCGGGTCGAGCTTGCACGAGTACTTTTCTTCCAAGTAGCCCTGTACGTCGTAACAATCGAACCATTCCCCCTCGTATCCACGGAGGTCCACGCCGCGTAGCTCTTCACTCCTACCGTCTTCTGTATTCTCTATTATGAGCACCTTGTTCTCTGTTGGCCCAATTTGCCGTACGTTCCATCCGTTTCTGACAGACTTTACGTTGCCGGCAGCGTCCCGTCGCGGATAATGAGTTCCTGCACCACCGAGATGGAGGAATGGTGACTCCCACCAATCCAGGTCTTCGTCAATGCCACGGGCCATGATAGTTCGGAAACGGCTTCGTATTTGATCGAGGGTCTCATGAGGTAGAGAAAGCTTGAAGACACGGTTGATTGCCTAGCTGTCATGATTAGCCTTGTATCACTACTCAGGAGAAAAGGCAGTGAAGCCACAGAAACAATTCCTACATCGACTAGCTGAAAACGTACCGTAGGGCGAGCTTGGGCGTTGCTAAGCAAATGAAACCCCGCCTCAAGCGCCGCCCTCGACAATCGTCTCGCAAATGTTGTTTCTTGAAAACTGTACGTTGTGACCGGAGGGAGCGTCTTCGACGATATTTTCGATAGAGGCGGCGTGGGCAGTCTGTTCGTTGGCGGTGTCGCTTCAGGCGTCGGTACACGGACGGAGTACGTGTGTAGGTTTGTTGTTCCATACGGTGCTTGGTGCTGACTCAGAAGGTCTACAAGCCCGAAAGGCAGCTGCGTCGGTTGGGATGAAGTATGCGATGGTGATGGGTCTGCTGGAGGCTGTGAAGATCGGTGCGACTGGTCGAAGACCGAACCAGCTCCAAACTGACGGCAACCCACCAGATCGCTCCTGCGGGAGTCTACATTGCCATATGCAGCACTGATGTGGGCGAGGTAGCTATCCGGTGTTGACAACTGTGGCTGCGGACGCTTCTCAGCGGCTGGTTTCGGAACTGCGGAGTATCCCCATCCAATGTGCTGCACTTCAGGCTCCGGTTCGGCTAGCTTTGGTGCACCATTCCCTTCAATCCCGTGTTCGCCGGGTTCGCCATCTTCGTCTCCCTCGTACTGGCCCTCGTTGGCTGTCTTCGTCAAGCTCGCGAACGTTTCCGTTACCAGCTTGAACTCTTGGGCCAAACTGGGATTCAGCTGTAATAGACCTGACTTGATGGTGGACTCGTTTAGCTTTAGAAAGGCCTTGTTCATCTGCTCGATGATCGAGTGAAGCTGTGTGCTTTGACTCTTCAACGACGCGATGGTGGTTTCCTTCCGCTGCCGATATGCACGCTGCGCAAGCCGGATTTGAGTTCTTCGTCTCTGGTACACCTGTCAGTACATTCGACATGAATGCTGAGATCGGATCGCGAGGAGCTCCATGCTGGGTAGTGTCATCTGGAGCACGGCAGGCTCATCAGCGTCGTTCACAGGAGGTGGGGATGACGATGAGGAGCTCACAGTGGGTCGAGCTGGAGAACACATCAACAACTTGACAGCTTCTTCGATCAGGACAGGTGCGCATGTCCCGTTTACCCTCCCGCTCCAAGAGTTGACAACGACGAATCGGGTAGATAGAACAAAAAGGACGTTGCGTCTCCACTCACATCTGCAGCCGTGGCGTCCTGTGTGTCTACCCGTGGACGGCCCCTAGCCTTCTTTCCTCCAGCACCACCGTCATCGACGCTGTCCCTCCTGCGTGAGCGCTTCCGTGATGTCTGCGCCTGTTCTGATTCTGAGCTCGTCATGATTCTGGTTTTCGCTTCTGATACCGCTGATCGAACAGAGTAAGGTCCGGAGGTATGTCACCGAAGGAGTTCGGTGGAACCAATAGCGAGACTGACTACGAAAGGCGAAAGGATGCTGAACCGAAGTCGGTCTCCACGGACTACTAATCACTCCGTTCCGACTCTTGAAACACCGCTATCGTTCACTTGTGAGGAAAATCGTAAACGCTTCGTACAGATTCTTAATGGAGTAATTTGGTTCGCGTAAAAATAGCGGGAAGACGTTGTGTACATGTAGATTGCATCCAGAACTAGTTCAACCTGACGCAAGCCAGACGGTAGGTATGGAAAAGCAAAAGATGCTCCGGCGCCGATTCAGTGAACGGCCGCTACAGCTCACAAGGTTCGAGATCGATCAAGGGTCCGCTGTTACACGGGGCTAATGCGCGTCTCCGCACAGGATGCGGCTAGTTCCTGCTGTCTGTAGGGCGAAGAGGCGGACGAGTGCATGGGCGGGTGGGTTCATGACCATAGGTTTGCAGGCGTTGTGGTCCCATCTACGTGGGTTTATTTGCGTGCAAATTTATAACTCGCAAGCCTACCCTAGACATTCTTGATGGTGAGATGTTTGAGACCGAGGTCGTCGGACCTTAGTAGCTGGGTGTGACCAATTGTTTCGTTGTGCGTCTTGTAGCTCTGGTGCAGTTCGGGAGGCTTTGGCAGCATGATTACTGAACAACAAATTTCCCGGAACGGCAAGTGCCGCATGCCAAGCGCTGCACGTGACAACAAAGGTGACTCCTGTCAGCAGTCTGCAGGGCTGGCGGTTATAAATTTTTCCCTGGCTTCATTGTCAGCTGGTTTCTTGTCAGCGCTTGATTATATAAGCTGTTTAAACCTCTCTAGCTTGGTAAATCAAACGGCCCCCTTTACGCTCCAGGGCGCGATACCTGGGCAGGCGGTTCCTTGGGTAGCTTCAGCCAAGTCAATACGGCATACGGGCGACGCGGCACCGGGAACAACGTAGATCCTAGAATACACAGATCATGACGTCAATGTTTTAATGAACGAGTGAACGAGACTGTCCAACTTACAAGTTGACGATGTCACAATCACGACTTCCATGCGTCTCAGGTACCAATGCACTAGCCCGGTCAAGGATATTTAGAGCTTGTGTATGATCACATAATCTAACGTTGTATATCTATGCTGATGCTTGCCCTGGACCGTGTCTAAGCTTCGGCACGACGCCCAACCAGTTGTTCGATTGTTCATCTTCGCCCTGCTCTGCAGCGGCCGCTGCGTGCCCACCCCCAGACCCCCCACTAGTGTTCTTCTCCGCATCATCATATCTATCTCGAACCCCATGCCCTGTTTGCTGACTGTTTGCATCCTTTACCTCCGCCTCATGTTCCCGTACCGGTCTTTCGCTTCTCTCTGCCTCTCTCCGGGAGGGGCTTGCAGATCTAGGCGCATCGGCAGCCGCATGATGACTAGTCCGAGATTCCTCCGCCGATAAAATAGCACGATCCTCATCTATGCGCTTTTCTCCTCTGTCTTCTGCCTTGATCCATGTTTGCAGATCCTCCTCTGAAGGTTTATGGAAACACCACATCTCATCAGAAGTCGTGTATCCAGTGCCCATACCGCCTTGAAAGTTGCGCTTAAACTTTCTTTGCAGACCAGCAGCTAACCGTTTCCTGAACTCATTGTCAACTCGTAGTCGGGCAGCTATCCACTGGTCGTTCGGTCGGTGGTCGTTGGGCATGTCTTCCATAAGAGGCGTGTCCAGAATCTTCTCATCTGTCATACATCGATTAATGATGGACTTTCCGCCTCCCGAGTCGGGCGTGACCAAGCGGAGGAACTCGAGGCTAGTGCTGACGTTGAGATCAATAGCTCTTTGCGGATGGACGGTGGCCTTCATGAACAACGATGAGACATGCTTATACAAGATCGAGAAGTCGCTTTGGTTGATGTGAACGGAGCCTCGGACCGTAAGAAGATACGCAGGGGCACCATGCTCGCTGGCCTCCTTCATCAGAGACATGGACGCATCCCAGTTTTTCTGCCAATACATGAACGCTTCACTGGCGATTCCCAGCAGGGGGAGGTGTATTCGGTGCTTCGGGTCTTCCACAGGTGGCTTTACAGGCGCGCTACGAATGTGTTAGTTCCAATGTAACGATGGGGAGAAAGATATAGTCACCCCCAGATATCGTAGATTATCCCCGCTTGCACATTAGTAAACCTTTCGGTGTGCCTGAGCACTTCTACCACTGTTGCTGCTCCGAAACTATGACCAGCCACTGTCATTTTATCTACGTGAAAACGATGTTTCCATTGTGCCCAATCGATTCCGCCCAGACCTCTGGAAGAGCCTCCAACGTAGCCTTCGCCTCGGAGGTTCTGTCGCGCGATTTCCTCTCCATCGCCGTCAGATATCATCTTGAGTACACGGTATGCTTCCTCGAGCTCGCAAAGGCGCAGCTCTATCTGTGCGCTGCGCAGTTCGCCGTCGACGCCGTGCTCGTTGTTCGGTGCGGTGTCCATCGGATTATCTTTTGGGAAGATGTAGTCCTGCTATAGTTAACCTAATGAATTCTGTATTCCAGAACCTCACAGTACGCACAACATAGTGATAACCTTGCGCAATTTCTTCGTCAGTGTGATCCAGATGCTGGAACTTGGCAAAGTCTTTGTCGTCTTCTACGTCTCCGTCGCAATCCGTATGGTTCGCTTTCCCTCCTCCTTGGGCATCCTTTCTCCGCTTCCCTCGCTTCTTGTGATTGATGAAAGTCCGCGGTCCACTCCCGTCCCTATGCTCCACCGCGCACACGACGAAGCCGTAGCTCGCGAATTCGGAGCATAGGCTGCTGTATGCGGTTCTAGAGCCTCCAAGACCATGACTAAACATCAACAGTGGGAACATGGGCTCATCGTTCATGCCTTCGGGCGGACTACCCTGCTGGTTCTTGATCTCATACCCGTCTTTCTTCATGTTGCCTTCCGGAGGCCAATGAGTCGCAGGAGGGGCGTTCCTAAAACCGCGCAATTTGGTGAGCATGGTGGTCGCGCCAAAGACGCCGATGCTTATAGGGCTCGGTATGCCAGCAAACCGCGCATAACCCTTCGCCGTCTCCATGCGCGGCCTTGGAAGCCATGTCTCGCGACTCCATTTCTTCTCTCCTCCTGGGGCGTTCCCGTTACCACTCCCGAATGAGGCTGGGTAATATAGTGTAAACAAAACAGTCTCCAACTGCAGAAGGTGCCGGCCCTTGCGCTTGATGTTGGAGATCGGACGAGGGTGTTCGACGGGGACTTCTATCTCCATGCTGCCTATAGAGTACGGTCCTGAGGTGGGAGAGAGGGTCGAGTTCGGGTAAGGGAGATGATCGCGTATCGATGCCGGCGGTCTCGTGCGTGGTTTCTTCGCGTTGGGTATCTTGCCCGAGGACGAGGGATTGAGGATGCTGTGTCGACGGGCGTCATCTTCGTCACCCGTGATGCGCGTCTTTTGACGCTCAAGGAAAGACATGGTCGATGGCAAGGGTGGTGTGAAGGGTGATCGAGGGTATCTTAGAAGAAAAAGCGCGTAACAAAACGGACGCGGTAGGACCACGCCTCAGGGTGATGAAAGCGATATAACGATCGCGAAGAACAACGGCCGAAAATGCTTCGCCATGCTTAGCAGGCGCTAGGAGGCCCCGCCTGAAACGCTTGCTCCGCTGGCGAGACTGTGCGGATGCGCCCGGGAGACCTAGCTGTAGTGTTTGGTGTTTTGTGAGAATGCCGATGATGTCATGGGCCGGTTCCCGTGGAGCGCGTAAGTGGGGCCGATACCCCTTCGCCGTCCCTGACGAGCGCAGACACTCCGGCCACATCAAGCATGACGTGAATTCGCTGGCGTTCAATTTAAGTCATGTTGAATTGAGCTATCAACTAAGATGGTGAATAACATACTTTTCCAAAAGTTGCACAGTGTGCAATATAGCACATAACGCGAGATAGACAGAAGACATGTGCGTCCAACATCTCATGGGTGCTGCAGACTCGGTCGCTTTAGCTCAGGCTATGAGGTCTTCGACCTGTCCACCACTGGATATTGATCGGTACCGAAAGTAGAGTTGAGCGACACCTGTCCCGAAATCTTACCGTTCTCCATACGGATCCACGTGTCGACCACCTTCGCATCCAGCATATCCTCCTTGACGACGATCTGACGCGCGCCCCGTGTCCAATCAGTGTAGCCACCATAGCCTGAGTGACGATTGAAGCAGATGTTCAGCCCGTTGCCGTTGCTAGGAGAGTTGCCAGGGAGGTCTTTGGCCCATTTCATGCACCAGTCTACACCATGGTCGTGACCCGAGAAAACGGCCATGAGGTTTTCCGTCTCTACGAGCGCCTTCATGAAGGGAATGTCGGCTCCACTGTACTTGCAGTTGTTCCCAGTATGATCGCAAATATCGCCCTGGTTTCCTACACTCTCCTCGTTGATGCCCGGGTTGGCTGTTTTGGAACGCCCGTTATGTTGAAAAGAATCTGCGGCGTGTATCGGAATGTGCACGAAAGCCATGCTAGGAACCGCGCGGCCATATTGCTGGCGAAGGGCATTATTGGTATTGCGGAACCATTCGACAACCTGCAAGAATCAGTACGTTATGAAAACAGTAGCAAGGGTCTCATACCTTCTCGTCGACCCAGTTCGGAACACCGACATCATCACCAGTGGGTTGATACTTCATGCCTCCTTTGCTGTCAAAGAACCACAACAGCATCTTCAGATCAGAAGCATCCGTAGAGCTGTACACCGGGACGAAATAGTTGCTCCAGCCAACTTGATTGATATCGCCAGACACGGACTGCGTCGTGAAAGAGAGTTTCTTGCCATTCTTGCCCTTGACGTCCGACCACATGTGTTCGGAAATGGCACTAGTGCTGCAAGTCTTGGAAGCATCATGGTTGCCGAATGTTGCGCCGAAAGGCAGGTTGCGGGCGACGAGTGGAGCCACGATTTGATCGATCAACGGATTTGCGTCTTGAGGGGCCACCCACTCACAGGAGAGGAGATCGCCATTGAGGACGACGAAGTCGGGCTGTTCGTTGTCGAGGACTGAGTTCATGACACCGATTGTTTTGAGGTCTGCGAATGGCCGGCCGCGCTGAGACTCAGCTTCAAGTGGTTAGTATATGATGAATCCAGGTTCATACGACGTAGAGAGATGTGATGGCTTACGCTCACCGAAGTGGAGATCACTGAAGACGGAAATTGACAACTGTCTATCCGCAGCGAACTGGATACCTGCATAGTAGGGCGCGGACCTGCTGTGAAGCACAGCGGCACTAACTGTTGAAGCCAGCAGCCAGAGGAAGTGGGTAGACTTCAAAGTAGCCATAACGGTTAAGTAGGATGTTGTAAGTTGTGCACTTAGAGGTAGCAGGTAGTCGAGCCGAAGGTGAAGCAAGATCAGTCGAAGTGAGAGTGCATTGCAGGCAAAGGAAGCGAGACCAGAGTGAAAGACTTGCTCACGCAGATAGCGAGGGCGAGAGTCAGGAAGGGGCGTGGGGCCCTACAACCCAATGGGGTCGAAAGTGAAGAGCGAGCGGCATTATGGGAAAGAGCTGATTGAACTCAACTCAGGTATTGTTGATACTTCACGTTGTAACGTCGATGCCGCCTATCTCAGATGCAGCAGTCGTGTGTGTTGTCTCAATTCCCTACAATCTCCTCGTCACGCAAAACCTGATGCCATTCCGACAGAAACACAAGGACGAATGGCCCTAATACCAGCCCATTCAAGATTGGGGCCATTTGAAGTGTGGAGGAAGGTAGGCAGGGAATGAATGGCCGGGGGTCCGCTCTGGACAGTCGCGCTAGCCAAGACTTCCCCACCAAAATTTCCAGACGCGAAGTTGGGGATCAGTCCTTCACCTCCGCCGCCATGAACGCCGAGGCTTATCTGCGCAAGCAAGGCTGGCAGGGCTCAGGTCACTCGCTCGATCAGACCGGCCGCGGCATCAAGAAGCCGCTGCTCATCGCCCACAAGAACGACCAGCTAGGACTCGGCAAGAAGAAGCAGGCGCATACGACAGACGACCAGTGGTGGTTGCGCGCATTTGACCAGAGTCTGCAGAGCATTGGTACAGGCAAGGATGTATGCAGTCATGCACCAATGCGCGCGATCAATCAGCTAATTTCCCGCTCAGAGCACGCTTGACCAGATCCGCACCCAGGGCATCTATCGCGGAGGTCTCTATGGCTTCTTCGTAAAGGGCGAGATGATTGGAGGTACGATTGGAGAATCCTCAGCGACCACCACAGACGCATCGAATCCCGCTTCCGGCGCAAGCACGCCTCCCACATCCGCATCCGACACCGAAACGCCCGCGCCTGCCAAGGGGAAATCCGACAAGAAGAAGAAGCGCAAGCGAGACGAGGGAGATGCTTCGGTTAGCAAAAAGGCGAAGAGCAATACGGTCGAATCGAAGAATGAACAAAGTCCGGCGGCAGTCACTGGCAAAGACCTGAAGGCCGTAACGAAGAAGCTTGCGAAGCTGAACACCGAAGAAAAAGCCGACTACGAGACACGCGCGGAAGCAAAGGGCCAGACACTCGAGCAATACGTCCTCCGTCGCATCCAGAAGAAGACAGAAACGCGCGCTCCTAAGCCGGTCGAAGTCGTCAAGGAGAAGAAATCGAAGTCAGATAAAAAGGAGAAGAAGAGCAAGAAGGCGCAATAACCACGAAGATACAATGGTGTAGATGGAGAGAACAGTAGACGATCACATCACTCTCAGGGTCGGCGCAGATGCTCGCAGCCTTTGAGGGTCGACCGAGCCGTGAAGCGCATGTGGGAGCTGTGCGAAGAGCAGAAGTAAAAGGATTCTGGCTCGAGGGGCTGTACGCCGCCGATCCATCTTCAATGAGCCGGGCGTAATCGTCAGGAATGATACCCAAGTTTGTAGGGGCCGCTGACGAATACCCCAGGACCGTGGTCTGAATGCAAAACAAGAGCCACAACGAGAGCACCGGAGCAGAGTATTGACCGGGAAGCGCAACGTTGTAGAGTCGGGACTTATAGTCGCATGCCGTACGTGCGGAATACTGTAGTTCACCAATATCGCGATGTTGTCATAGACGAGAATTATTCGATCACTCAATTAAACAACATGAACAGCATCCACATCTTACATTTCACCATCATCTCATCCCCGCTATTATACACTGCTTCGTCCCACCAATACACACAGACAACCCCATCGTAAAAATCGTCATCATCAGTCGAGAAGGGAAAGAAAACCCACCAAAAGCAGAAGTTTGTCAATAAATCACCTCGAGCAACTAACTCAACCCGTCTTCCCACTCAGAATCCAGGGCCTCTTCTCCCAAAAATCATCCTTGATGATATCCACGTGCTCCATAAGCACCGTCGCCTTGCTCCGCTTCTTCTTATCTTTATCTCTTTGCGTACGACTCATGGGTACGGGCCATCCTTCATTCGCCTGTTGAGGCGCAGTAGCTGCAGCCTTACCATTCGTTTCCGACTGTGGTTGTTTGCCTTTATCCGGCCTGGCCTTTGAAGAGTTGGACTTGGAGGGTTTGTGTGTGCTGCTGTCTTTGTTGCGACTGCTGGTGGACGGGCGACTGGTGGGAAAGGGTTGGGAGCTTGGCCCTGCAGCGGATGTTGAGGAGATTAGGGTGTGGAGATCGGGGCCTGAATGAGGGTATGGTAAGGTTGCTGATGTGGGCGCAGACTGTGTTGGTGTGGAAAAGGCGTGGAGTTCTGCAATGCCTGGGTGGGAGATGTGGTCTTGGGTGCCCCAGCCTTGACCCGCTCTGTTGTCTGAGTCGCTCGGCCTTCGCTGGGGCGACTCACTGCCGTTGATGGCGTACTTGCTCCAGTCTTGCCGTGGGCTGTTTCCCTTGACCTTCTCTCGCGTGCGCATCTCCTCTTCTGCGCTCATTGGCGGACTGGGCAGAGCCTTGTTCTTTTGGATCGGCGGGCTGACTTTGCGGGGCGGCGTCGATGTCGCATCTCGGGGGCTAACGATGCTCTCCTTCTCATCCGAAGTATCTCTCGTGGCTTTGAGTGTTGAAGTTGATCGATGGACCGGTAAAGACAGTTTCCGAGGCTTGCTGTTGGCAGGAATGCTGGATATTCGCAGTGGTATAGACGGGGGCTTCACTGCAGGTGTGCTAGATGATGCAAAATATGAAGGCAGAGAAGGCTGGCTCGGCGATCGTTGTTTGACACGCGAAGGCTTCACTTGAGGTGGGTATGAATGTGTCAAAGAAGCAGAAGCGGAGTGGGAGAATCCATGGCTGGCCGCTGCAGTGGCATGGTGGCGGTAGCCTGCTATAGGAAAATCTGCGGGAAAATCGCCCTGCGGTGTCACTGGGGAGAAGTTGGTACGTGTTGTCGGATTCGGTTGGCTCAATGACATCGGAGGCTTGCTGCTTGGCTTCAATATTGGTGGGGACAGCGGCAAAGGCGTCAACGATGGTAGGTGTTGCTTGCCGTTCAAGGAACCATTGTTGTTCCAGGTGGCAGTCGTTGGCGGAGAGAGCGGCATGGACGAACCTGGCACATCACCCTCACCATCGGAGCCAATCGGATTGGACCTGAGTGGGTTGGGGAATGCTGATCTCGACATCGTAGGCGGCGATGGCGGTGGTGATGGTGTCGATGTTGTGGAGAGAAAGGTTGGACGTCTGCACAGACCTGGATTCTCCGTCATCTCCTTCTTATCCGGTAGATAAGGGATAGACCTTTCAATAGACTGTGATGCGTGGTGATTGGACGCTCGCTTTGGTGTTGGCTGAGCGATTGGTGGCGTTGGAAAGTCCGACAGCACGGGTGATGATAATTGCTCGGTCGGTGGTGTAGGGAAAAACTGTCACAGTTAGAACGTGGACGTGAATATTGATGGTGCTGAAGCGTCTCTTACGTCTCTGTACAGCACCGTGCCTTTCTTGAAGCACTCTGGTTCGTTGTTGTAGTTGATTCCGAACTCCTTGAATAAGATCTCGTTCTTGTCGGATGACACTGTGCCTTTGAGTCTTTGCTCTGCTTCTCGCGCTCCCATGCCACCCTGCTGAACAAGGGTCCAGAAAGTGGTGTTGTACAGATTGTTGATATGGCCTGCACGATGGTCAGATCCAGTCTACGACCGACACCAAGAGCAAGCAAAAGATCCAGTCTAACAAGAAAAGGCAGGATGAAGGTGATGCATCAAAATACTCACAATCGGCTTGCCGCCAGCTCATATAGTGTCGAAGGTTGATATCGCTTGGGTATAAAACCGCACGCCCATCGAATGTCGGTAGGGGTGCTGTGAGTGGCTTATCCGGAAAGTATGTTGACCAAGAATACACATAGTAAGCAGTGAAAGTCGAGACAATCGTCGTAGTCAGTTTGCTAAACGGGGATCAGTTCTAGACGAATGGGCGCCGGAGGTGATAAAGTTGCACCAATAGGAGGATTCCCGTACCTGGCTCGTCGTTCGAATAAGGCGCAGTCCTTGTGAAAGACGAAACTGCGACCCACGTCAGCTAAGCCGCCCCGAAACATGCTGCCCCACCCCTGTGTATACCGCGCTGGGAACATTGGGCAGCTCGATGGAGGCATAATCAATCTCAAACACAACGTGCTCGAATAAAAGAATGCAACATACCTGTATTCGTCGCTGTTGCCAAATGCAAGGACAAGGTCGGGCAGTTCCTTCATGACCGCTACGGCTGCAGCATTCATGACATCAAGGCCATTCTTGTCGTTTGGCTTGAGGAACTCATATTTGGACGTGAACCTGTTCGCGCGTTGTTAACAATAGCCCTTGTTGGTGTACAATAGCCGAGATGTTGGCCTGGGGCAGCAATTCCGTTCATGCAACATGGTGACGGGTACCTGCATATCCCGGACCAAGAAAGTTTGCCACGGCGCAAGTGAGGGAGAGAGAATTGGTGAGCGTACTTGGAAAAGCCACGTCCGTCTATCCGTACTACGATCCAGGTGTTGGGAATTAGATTGTCGGGCTGCTCGAACCCGCGCACGTATTCGAATCTGGAGTCCGTTAGTTGAGGTCCGGTGAGCTCGTGCAGGCGGCCAGCTCTGGACGTTGGCGGCAGCTTCCCCACCCGCTTCGAAAAGCTATTGATTACTCACTTGCTGTTCGCCATTTATGGCCTCTCTGCAGATAACAACCTTTCTGCCCCTGCACAGGCGCACGGCATAGTCTTTGAGCGATGAAAGACAAGAATTGACGGACGTCAGCGCGAGCTTGTTTGCTGTTCAGGAGTGCGTAAGTGTGGTTTTGAAGGCTGAGAGTCCGGGGCTTAGGCTAACCCGGTGTGCAGTACAGCAAAAGACGGTGTTTCAGGTTTGCAGATGTAATGCAGCTACCGCGACAAGCTTCTCGAGCCGACTGAAGCGCGGATAACGAGCGCGCAATTGGCACCCTCCGAACTGGCTATCATGCATTGCGTGGGTTACCCGCGGGTCGCAAAGTCTTTGAACATGGGATGAGTCCCCACACTCCGTTCCGGACGATCTCTGGCGCTCGGGCCAACGCCTTCCTCTCTAACAAAGCGACGCGCCCGCCGACACACGACCACCACCTTATCGCCTTCATGCACCAAGAGAAAGAGCTTCAGTGTACAAAGCAGAGTTGTACGCGTCCTTGCGCCAAGCCCCTCTAGTATCTCCCCCTCATCGCACAGACAGACGCATGAAGCACTCGGACATGCGGCATCTTCCGACCCATACGTAGTTGCCGGAGCGGAGCGAGCGGTGAATGTGCTCAGACGCGTGCCTGTGCTTCTCGCAAATAACAGCCACGTGTGGCACCTGCTACGGGCTTCATGCTGGGAGGCATGGCGTAGCCTGACGCATACGGGACACCGGTTCTTTAGGAATCCAACTAAGGCCAGCCGCTACGCCATCCTCAAACAACAACACCATGCAATGTATACAAACACTACCGAAATCTTTCCGGATAGCTCCTATCCACCGGTTCTATAGCTTCTATCGCCACAATATACGTCTCAACCTCCGGAATCTGCAGCAGCGACTTCGTCAAATCGCCGCGTTGAGGATTTAGGTTGTTGCCCAAAGATCTGTGGGGGTTCATACAGCAGCATGAACACTGCACCCTTGTTCGTTCCTCCTGAGCTTTGTCCTCGTTCTTTAGCGATAGTCTAGCGAGAGTATTCTCCTGGTGGTGGCAAGTGGTAACCAAAGTGCGTCAGCCACTCAGCGATCGGCATACTCACAATTACAATTAGTTCTCAGCAGCACCAGGCATTACCACAAACAAGAAGCCGGGCCGGCGCATCAAAACATCAATCTCGGCCTTGTTATTCTCCGCTATTTGCTGCAGGTCCCGTCCCGCACATCTCAACTTTGGATCGTCGGTCGATCTCGTGTCTTGGCATATATATGTTCCAAAGACAGCATGTGAAAAGGGCCGTTCTCACGGCTCGGCCAGAAACAAACGTAGTAGCCAAGACTTTTGATCTAATTCTTACACGACGGGTATTGGCGACGCTGGCGTCATGAGTCTATGACGGGATTAGTCTATGTTTGTTAGTATCAATTCTAGATGGCATACGATAGCTAGAAACAATAATGCTTGGAGAATCACCGCGAAACCCAACCACAACGCCTCCAGCTGCATCCACGGTAAGGCGATGAGTCCTCGAAATGACTCTGCGATGAGAACGTCGAGATCAAGATGGAAGCATGTTGCAAGATATTCATTTTTCTCGTGAAAATAACGGGTTCCACAAAACCATATCCCTGACGTCCACTATTTCTCTTCATCGTGCGCCAACCCCACCGCTCTGCAAAAGCCGATCTTCCTCCGCCTGTCCTTGCACAGCGCACTGCTCAATTGCCGATGAGACGTAGTCTTCCGGCGTTAAGCACTATCTTGTGATACCCCATGCGGCTAGAATTAGACTGGCTGGTGATGTTTCGTAAAAGACTTTTGTGGTTGAATTCTGATTGGGACTCCAGCAATCTGCATGTGTGCTACCAGGCGCCGAGTGCCTATCCCGATAGCAACGTGATATGCACAGAAGTCGATCCGCAGCTGTGGACTACAGGACCAGAACACATGATTCTCGTCCTTCCCGCAGCTTCGAATTGGGTACTCCAGGGACCGATTCGAGGTGGGACACGAGACAGTGTAGAGACTTCTAGAGTTGACGATTGAGATGTCAAATGAATTAAGCAAAGTGCCAAAGAAACTCATTTCAAGGCACCAATGCGTTAGATCGGAGGCCGAGGCCTGGTGTCGGCGGGTCGATGGATAAAGGTGCCAGTTGTGGCATCAAGGATTTCATCATCAACACCAAGTCGGCCGCTTTGAACGGCTTCTGCATGATGCGATCCTGTACAGGCTGTTAGCCTAGAACCGCTTTTGTCGGTTATCATATACTTACTGCTCCAGCAGCAATAGCAGTATCGATCTGCTCTTTCCGAACGTTCGCCGTGACAGCGATCACAGGCAACCGTTCAGAAGACAGCACCCCCTGTTCTTCCTCTCTTTTCCGTATCTCGCGCATCGCGCCAAGCCCATCAAGTACCGGCATCTCCAGATCCATCAACACGATGTCAAACGTTTCTCTCTCCAATATCTCGAGCGCCTCCAGACCATGGTTTGCGACGGACACGTGGCATCCCGCTTTCTTAAGTTGTTTGCCGAGCACTTGCTGGTTTATAATGTTGTCTTCCACCAACAGTACGTGGAGTTGTCGCATTGCCGCATCCTCATTGCCGGTTTGTTGAAACATCTCCTTGAGGGTCCTGGGCTTCCACTCTACTCTTCGCGTCTTGACATAGAATCCAAAAGTCGATCCTTGGCCCTGAATGGATGACACGCCTATTTCGCCGCCTTGCTTCTCAGTAAGCTCCTTTGAGATGAACAGACCCAGCCCACTGCCGCCGTATTTGACATGCGTCTTCACGTTCGCTTGGCGGAAGCGCTCGAATATCTTGTGAATTTCCTTCTCTTGCAAGCCAATTCCCGAGTCCTTGACGGTGAACGCAAGATAGATTTCTTCACCGGTGCCCCAATCTGGATTGCTTGTAACATCGCCGTCTTGCTTGCCCTCAGTAGCCCAGAACATGTCTTCAGGAAAGAGTTTGCGGGGATCTGAGGTGCTGGCGCCATAGCGGATGGAGAGGGCTGGCTCTTTCGATGGTTTGACGAACTTGATGGCATTCGTCAGTAGATTGATGAAGACTTGTGTCACGCGGGACGGATCCAGATGAAGGTGGTCAATGCCTAGACTCAAGAACGACGTGTCAGGTGTGACACTGTAAGAGATGTTGTGCGTCTTCATCTCAGCTTGGAAGATGTTGACGATGGATTCCACGAGCTTTGCGGGTTTGACTGCGACGGGCGTGATGGACAAGAGCATGGAGTCGAGCTTACTCAAAGTAAGTACATCGTCGATAATACGCTTCTGATGATTTGCACATTGCATGATGACGTTTGCGCTTTGTATGTTGTCATTGAGAGTATCGAGACACGGTACAGGTATATCGGCGAGCTGCGTCTGGCACTCGACAACTGCGTTGGCAATCGCATCTGCGCAATGTACAATGGCGCTCAATGGGTTCCGCATCTCGTGTGAAACTACGTCAATGAAGGCTTCCTGCTGTCTTTTGGCTTCTCTTGCTTCGGCGGCTAATCGAGCCTGGAAGGTCTGCGCCCAGCACAGCCTGCTAATGTCAGTCGTACAAGCCATTACGCTTCTCACGCTTCCATGCTCGTCGCGGTACGGGAAGGCCAGAACCTGGATCTGGGCGGGTTCGGGATCTCCAGTAGGAGGCGTGTACATGCGCTTCATGCGCAAGTCAGCTGTGACGTGGTCGGCGCCTCTAATCAGACGCTCCCAAACATCATCAGCTTTTAACCGATCATCCTCGTGATATGCGTCAAGAAAGGCAAGACCGATGGCATGTTCCGAAGGAGATTTCCCAGCTAGCTCATAGTAGTGATCGTTGGCCCAGAGCATATTACCGTCAAGAGATACATGGCACATGCCAACAGACGCGTGATCAATCAGATGGCGTAGCTTGAGATCACTGAAAGCCAGATCAGTCTCGAGCTGCTCTTGACGCTTCTTGGTGGATTCATTGTCAACGGCAGAAGATATGATACTTGACACCATGCGACCTAGGTCCCTGATAAATTGCGTGCATATATCGTCGTGGGGGCGGAATGGATTGGTGCCGAAGACGAGGTAGCCGAAAAGGCGTGTTCCACTCATGATGGGCATTACGACAATCTTCTTGGAAGGCGCGCTCCAACCTCTCCACGAGGTAGCAAGAAATCTTTCATCATGCTCGATGACCATAGTGTCTATGCCAGCTCGTCGCAGATCTGGTATTAGTCCTTGCTCACTGTCGATAGTGGCTGTCTGGATGAGAAGGTCGTGCCCCTCGGGGAAACCAAATTGGCCATGGAGTATCAACTGGTTCGAGCCTGGGGTCGTGTCCATTCGGTAGAGCATGGACATGGGCACATCGTTGGCGTTGGTTTCGAGGGTGGTGAGAAGGTGAGAGCAGACTGCGTCGACACATTGCGAGGGCACGGAGGCGAGAGTATTCAGGCAGGTGGTACGGCGGTCTGCGAGCTTCTGGCTTGTTACCTCGTAGCTAGTTGGGTCAGCTGTGTATTGGAAATAGGTCACTGGGAAACGCGTTTTCTAGCTTGGTTACTACACGTAACTCACGTTGTATTCATGAAGCCCTCGATAGCGCCTGGCATGCCGACTGGAACAAAGCCGCCAGAGAAGAAGGCCTCCTCTTGGTAGCCTCTGCGCTCGACAACCGTGGGCATGGCAGAGCTGTAATTGACTCCAGTGCCTGTCCGCTTGGCCTGTATGAAGTACTGGCTGATGGACGGCCAGAGATCGGGAAAGCCATCCTGGAAGAGGGAGCCCATGAGGTTGGGGTGAGCGCCCCCGGCCAAGGGAGCATAGGCCTCGTTGTATATGGCAGTGAGGTTGGAGATGTCCTCTCCCCACCAGAGGCAGGCTCCGCGCGAATCGGCCAGTACATAACTTGCGAACATGCGCAGCGTCGGGCTCCACGTGCTCAGTGGCCCCAGGCGGCTGCGCGACCAGTCCGTGGTGCGGAAGAAGGCGATATGGTCGGTCTGAGGTAGCGCCGCGGTCCAATCGTATGCGCATTCATCGTCGGAGTTCATGGGAGGAGCGCCGAAGCCTTCTTCGTCGGGGGGAGGAGTGAGCATCTGCATGTAGCTGCCGGCGCAGAGGTGGCAGTCGCGAGAGAGACACAAAGTGGCTGCAGCATCCTCAAAAGGAATTGACGTTTGCGCAGACAAGACGCGGTCAGGACCCGGTTATCTTATTCCCATGCGATGCTTCGGTTTTGGCTGCGGCGGTGCTTCTTCGGCCAGTACTGGCGTCGATTGCATGTGGGCACGGGGCACAATCGAAGATGCATCTCATACCTCCCCTCGCACATGCCGATCTGCCGAGATTCCCATCGCCTCGCCCCGGGCCACATGCCCTTTGAACCCATCTGCATGCCCTCGTACCAACCCTGTACATCTACATCTCCCGAGACACTCTGCATGGGAGCAAACGAAATTCCGACCTCGCGCAGCAGCAAGACAGCCGCTGTTTGGCGGGGCAAACCTTCTCCTCCACAGGCACTGCGACGCCACAAGCGGGTGATCCTTTTTCTTCATCGACCGATCACCGTCTTTTCGACATGAAGAACAGGGTGCGCTGTATCCGCCGTGTTTGCAGCCTCGCCGAATGCAGCTAGTTGCCCGTCGCTGCCCATCGCATTCACGCCCGATACTATTCCAGTACTGCAACCCACTCGCTCGTATCATGTCTGTCCGAACCGAGCGTGTCTGACTCACCTCGCCGCACTCTTCACCGGATGCAACAGAGATGCCAATTGCTGGTTGTATACGCAGGGATGCCTGTGTACTACATTGCTCTGCTACCGTGTTACGAATCAAACTGCAAGATTGATGAGAGCCTACTGCTGTCGGTCAACAAGAATTTCTCCTCTTTTCGAATATTACAACTGTCGACGTTTGGTGTCTCCAGGGTTGTTTCTACTCCACTGGCGGTTTGTAAGCATTACGTCATTTCGTCGAGATAGCCGTTGAGTGGTTACTCGCTCAATCGCCCAACCAGACATTACAAAGCATATCAAGATTGCTCTCTAGCACCACTTGATATAGGCCTAAGATACAAAACACATTTTCATGTAGGAACAAAAATCTATTGGTTACACATTCATACTGAGCCTCACTTCCCACAATGTCTGTCCTTATCACGGGAGCCTCTGGGTATCTCGGTGGCTCGCTGCTTGCGGCACTGCACAACGGCGAACTTCCAGAGCACAAAGACGTACATGCTCTCGTCAGATCTCCAGACCAAGCGGAAGCGGTGAAGAAGTATGGCGCGCGCCCTCTCACTCTCAATTTACAAGATGAAGAGAGTGTTGTCAAGAGCATCGTCGATGCGCAGATATCCGTCATATTCTTCCTTGTTGACGCCATGAACTCCGATATGCAGGTCCCCATGATAAAAGCCCTTGCAGAAGTCAAGAAGCAAACTGGACGCGAAGTCCACTTTTTGCACACCAGTGGCGCAAAGATCTTCAGCGAACATGCGGGGATGCCTATCGATCGACCACTTCCCGATACAGATGCTGATCTGTACAAACTACAAAAGAGCTCCAAGGCTCCTCATCAACTCTTAACGCAGGTATGAGGCAACTACGTGCGCGCGGCTCAAGGTTCAATCTCTCTTACTCAAATGACCTCAGGCGACGAACACGAACAATGTCATCATTGAAACGGCGGAGAAACATGGAGTTCGCAGCTACATCTTCATTCCATGCATCGTGTACGGTGAAGGCAAAGGTTTTGGTAACAAAATCTCGATTCAAACCACAGCTGTGGTCAAAGCCGCGAAGGGGGCCGGCGCCGTGTACGATGTAAACCCAGAAGGCTGGGTAGGTGTTATCGAATAGTCATCAAGCCAACCACTCGCATACTGACGATATACTCAGACTTGGCCCGTATGTCATATCGACGATAACTCGAAACTGTACATGGAATTGCTGAAGAGTATCCTACGCGACGAGAATCCAGAATATGGCGAGAATGGGTACTATCTTGCTTCCTCCGGAAGTGTGGCCTGGTACGACATATACACCGCGATGGCGAAAGCGCTTGCGAAGCGTGGAATTATCGACAGTCCAGCAGTCAAGAAAGCGGATGAAGCAGCGCTAGATAAGATGGCACAGGCCTTGGGTTGCCCTAAAGAGCTTGTTGCAGTTCAGCTGGGTGGAAAGTAAGTCTACTTTTATGCTCACAAGGATAGACCAGAGGTTGACACCAGACACAGATGCACACTTGAAGCGAAGAGGGCCTATAGCTTAGCTTGGAGACCAGATCATGAGCCGAAGCACATCTTGGAGGCGGCAGATGCAGAGGTAGAGCTTATTATGAAGCATCTATGAGCAATGAGCAGTATAGTAATGGGCATTGCGGCCCCTCATTCAAAGGAAAACCTGAGCAGGTCTGCAGACTACATCAAGTCGAAAGCGTGCAAAGTAGGTGACACAACCTCAACGTAGACTGCAGGGTGTTCAGGTTTTTCCTAGGTCGGCATGGCAGCATAGTATAGCTTCGATTTGTAGCTACCTTGTCCATACGTGATAACCTGGAAGTTTCGATGTGCCAAAGAACAAGTGGACAACCCAATGAAAGATCCGCAATTAGTGTTCCAGCAAAGCTCTTTTTCTCCCATACTCAAGTTCTGAGTTGTTCGTCTCCATCCACACTAACTCATGCCCTTTCTCCACCAGACGAAGATGCCGAGCCCATAATAATGTCCAACTCTGCCTCCGTATACCTCCGCTGCGGCTGCTGCAAAGCACAATTAGCGACTTCACCCTAACGTACTAGCTCAACAACTTACCTCCACGAATTTCGGTCCATCGTACTCGCGCAACAGCTCAACGTACTCCATCAACGGCCGCATGATCGAGGCATCAGCATTCAACGCTGGACCACTGAGCGCAATGTCCAGGTCATATGCCAAGACGACGACTGGACCGCGAAACGGCAGTCCAAGGCTCTTGTTCTCGCAGAGTGCACGCTCTCCCTTCGCATTCATATCGTAATTGATCTGGATGAAATACGGAAAGTAGCGGTTGTGGAATGAAAGTTTCTTGATCTCCTGGGCCGGCACACCGGGGAAATGATAACCAAGCCCGCTTACCGTACCTTCCTCGTCGAACGCCAGAACGGAGAAGACAGGTTTGGTTGAATCGACGGGGAAACGCAAAACGCGCCGCATGTTGTTAGGAACGAATTGTTTGATGGCTTGGGCGTAGGGCTTGCAGGCGAGCTTGTGGCTGGAGGCCCAGTCGCGTTCTTGACAGGCTGGCGAGCAATAGAGCATGCTCTTGCATTGGCCACATATCTTCTTCGCGCCAGGAGTACGACAGGAAGCGCACTGATCTGCAACAGCAGTGGGTAGGGGAGGGACCGGGACGTAGTCTTCGAGCATCAACGGATAGCCAAAGTCCTGAGATGAGTATGGTGTAGTTGAGGACATGGCGAACGGTTGTAGATTCGAGATTATCAGAGCGATATCAGGAATGGATTATGATTAGAGAATGTACCCTGGCTTGGACCTCAAAAGGAAGTAGAGAGATCAACAAGTAGTGTGAGATTAGAAGATATACTAGCATTAGTCGTACGGCATGTAAATGAGGTCGCATGACGTCTATCTCACCACAAATGACATACTGCCTTTACCTGAGAGCCTTGATCAAGTACCCAGGTTATCTCAGTATGGGCGATAAAGCCATTGCGATGGGTGGAAGAAGACATCGAAATCCACACCGCCAAACACGCCAATCGCTGGAAAGAGATCGCATTCGCCCCTCAGTCCCGTGTTGCCTCCCTCGCTTCGCACGTCGAGCTCCTCATTGCCATCCCAGCCGCCTTCCTTTACTCCATTACGCGTGAAGAACACGTCGATATCCAGCATCCTTCCCTGTTGCGACTGCTCGTATGAGGGCGGGTTGCGCGGAACCGAGAAGGTAATACCGATACCTACAGTATCGCCAGGCTTGAAAGCCGATGTGAAGTCGATACCGCCCCATGCATCATTTACATACTTTCTTCCATCATCTCCATGCACTCCAAGACTGGCACGTTCCCAGCCTGGGAGTCGGAACGTAGGATAAGGCGGCGCGACGAAGCCTATCGCGATACCGGCGTCTGCTTCCGAGAATGAGAAGCCACCGCGACCGATTCCAAGGACTTTGAGTTCGAAGTAGACAGTCTTGGAGCGTTGTGTGTTGAGCGGTGAGTCCCAAAACACGCTGTACATGGGCAGATTTGTGAGGATACTCGAATCCCTGCAGTTCGCATGGGTGCGACAACGCCAGTGGCCTGCTTGAGGTTGAGGGAGTAAATCACCCAGATACGACGGCGCTTTTAGTAGAGCAAGCTGACCGTTCTGAATCGCAGCATGAGTGCTGGGCTGCAGATTCTGCGGTGGCCACAAAGGATTCATGTTGGTCCAAGCCAAGGCACGATCGCCATCTTCAGTAGATGCATTAGCAGTCGGAGAACTATCGTAACCCATCGAAGGTGGTGGAGGTAGAAGTGAAGTATCAGGTACGACGGTCCAGTCGTGGTATGGCGGAGGGTCCCAGCTAGGAGGGGGTTGCTGTGGATACGAAGGAGGTGGTCCTGCTGGGGGTGCGTAACCTGAGAACTCTTGTTTAGGTGGAGGCCCTGGAGGAGCAGTATAAGAAGACGACCCGTGGCTCGGTGGAGGACCTGGTGGAGCGGAGTACCCAGACGAGGATGAAGCTTGGTTCGGCGGCGGGCCAGGCGGTGCTTGATACTTCTCCGTCGGCGCTATATTATGCTGTTGGTCTTGGGGTGAGCTATAGTAAGGGTTGTTTGAATGCAGGTTGTGTTGATCTGTCCCATATGACGGCCTTGAAGAGCTGTCGTCGCCCTTTATCTTGTCCTTGAACTTCTTGAACATGGTGCCAAGGTTGGTCTGGGAACTGAGAGCAGTGCAAGAAAATGTCTTATCCTAATTTCGTGGATAAGTGATAGATATCGGAAAGATTGTATCAGGGGTGTGTAGGATTGTGGAGTCACACTACTAGGGAAGCGGGCGCACTTGAATGATGATGTAGCGAAGGTGGCCGGTTGTGGCTGTGCACGCGCAACAAAGCTCGAGCTGAATGTCACCTAACTGTCTATGTCATTATAGGTGGCTTGGCAGGGTCTTTGAAGCACAGACCCCGGCCACAATCACTGATGCCCTTGCCGCGCTCCAACAAACGCGCGTTGCAAACGCGATAGAAATCTGGCATCCATCTTCTTGTTTGCGCGCTCGTCTCGTGATGATCCGATTGCAATGAAGTCTGGCATCCAGATCGTTCGGTCACGCATACCTTCCTGCCACAGCCTTGCCGCGGATCCTTCCTTCTATGAACTTCACCGGAACCTCGACTTCTACGTCCCTCAACCAATCGCCCATGCCTAAACGCCGGTGTACGAAGTCAGTACATGTCTCACATGCAGTTCGTACAGCGATATTTCTTACCTTTCGCGAAAGCATCCAACCTACTACTCCCGCTAACGCCTCTGCCCAACACCCCATAAACCACGAAATGCACCGCCATGATACCTTCGAACTCCACCCTTTCCATGAAAAAGCTGTCATTCCAGCTCTCTCCGAACATTTCCTTGAGTTTGGGCATGGTGAGAAAGCTGCGGAGCCAGTCCCAGCTTTCGGCATACAGGGGTGATGACTGTGGGTAGGAGGAAGGGAGGCTCGTGGGTATAAAGAAGCCAATGTTCGCGTTCCCACCCTTGTCACCTGAGCGGGCGAGCACGATGTCTCCCAATCGCGCACGCGTTGTTGGGCCAAAAGACCCAAGATCTACGGGATTCGCAGTCTCGTAGCTTTCCCGCCTCCCAATCTCTTCCGACTGCGGTGGTGGCGTGGTCATCAGCGTCCTTGTTTCACCAGAGGCGAGAAGATTAATCGCCGTCTTTAGCTTGTTCTGCGGCCAAATCGCCGGGTAGAAGCTCAAGTACGGTTTCGGTATCGCCGTGCGATGATCCATCGTACTATGAAAGCCTGAGTAGTGCTGCATCGCAAAGTCTGCCAGTAGACTCGCTAGGCCCAGGTTCACGTTTGGATCGCCGCTCTCCGCGAAGATTCGACAATACGATGTACTTCTGAGCTGGCTCTTCGGGTTGGTCTCCGGCATGCCTATGCGCTGGAATTCCAAGATGTCGAATTTGTCCAACATGCCCTTCTGCTTCAGGCCAAACTTGATCATGCGTTCCCAGAGATCGAACTTCTCAGCCGTGGCGTAACCAGTTGCATTGACGACAACCTCAGACTGGTAACCTGCTTGATAGAAGATTGCGAGCTTCGTAGTGGGTGGGGGTGGTTTGCCTTTCACGCCCCACAGACGAACTCTTTCTGATCGTTAGCGAGATTGCTTCTGCCAACATGCCATGGAAGCAAAGTATATTCGAGCGTACCTGTTTTTGCCTTCAGCTTTGACCTGAACCCTATCCAAGATAGCCTTGACATCGCTATTCAGATACACGTTGCCCTGAAGCTCGTACAGAAACTGACATTTGACAGTGTCTTCCGTAACAAAACCTTTCCTAGCTTCGTGCTTCGTGATTACACATGTTCCGTCCTTTTCGACTTCTGCGATACCGAAAGTGATGTCGTACAGGTCATCCAGCGGATACTCGTAGAATCCTGCGAAATTCGAGCCTGTTACATAGCCACTGCATTCGATGAGATGACCCGCAATAAGGGCTCCTGCAAGTGCATCGAAGTCGGTGTCACGCCACGAGTACCAGTACCATGCAGCACCGATGACTGGGCTGGCGTCTGCAACGCGACCAGCAATAATGATATCTGCGCCTTCTTCGAGACCTTTGACGATTTCGCGAGCGCCGAGGTAGACGTTCGCACTGACGATTGGTTTGTCGCTTTTCAGGACGTCAAGCGTGTGGTCCGCGACCGTTACTTCGCTGTTGTCGGAGTCTAGGTGCGGCGGTAGGCCCTTCTCCTTGATGTCCTTCATTTCGTCCATTAGGTTGTCACCAGACACGTACGCAATCTTCAGATCATATCCTTTACTTAATACCTGTTCGTCTGTCAGTTAACTAGACCGTGTAGCGACTAAATCGATGAGGGAAGACTCACGAGTTCATGCACCTTCTCGGCCAATCCCTTCGGATTGTGCGCACCACCATTGACAACGACTTTGATCCTCTTTTCATTCAACAAGTCGATCGTCTGCTCGATACCATCCCAAGCTGTTTTCTCCCATCCAGGATGCTTGCCCGCTGCATGTGCCTGGGCGTTTTCCGCGATGTTGACCTCAGCGAGATAGTCTCCTGTAATGAAGTCTGTGTCTCCTAGCTCTGCTTGGTAGAGCATGTGATATCCAGGATCCCCTTGCATCCGTCAGACTGGTTCAGCATAGGTAAGGCTGGTATCACCTTTGTAGCCTGAGCAGTTTGCTATCCTCACTGGACGGCTTCCGCGCTGCGCTGTCCATCTCATGCTGTAGTCTGACGATTCCATAGCTACTTTTTCAATAAAGATAGCCGAGAAAGGCCTTGTGGTGCAGTTTTATGTGTATTCTGGGAGTAGGTCGCCAACGCATGCACATGCATGTAAAGCAGACCTGCATTATCGCGATACAGCCGCAACTTAAATCCTCCCACCAACCTTCCAATCACAAACATCGCCACATCAGACTGCTATATCAACAGACCTGATCCTCTTCTTGCGTAACGTATATCCAGATTGCGGGGTGATACCCCACCTTGTCGGGTAGATTGAGCTAGTCGACTTACTCGCCCGAGGGCCGAAAACGAATTGCCGTCCATCTACCATGATCGGCAGTGCTTGAGTAAGACCGGTGACAACTAGGACGATGGAGCTGGTGCGCCGATTGGCGTTGCTGGCACCATGTTACAAGGCGACCAAGTAGCTGATGGGGTCGAGTGGGACGTGTTTCGGACAGCGCAAACGATAAAGCTCTTGCTATCCGCGTCTCGTAGGCACACTCTCAGTCCTCTCAAGTCGAAGTCAAGGCTCTACAACTATTTGAAATGTCAAGCACTATAACGAACGGCCATACTAACGGCACGAATGGTAACCACAAGGACTACTCTGTCCCTCGCGAAACCCAACACATCTTCGAGAAGGGCATATTGAGCAATCCCCTCATTGCTCCAACATTACCCACCGATATCGCAGAATGCGCAAAGAAAGTCCAGTTCAAGGGTAACGATAAGCCCAGTATACCCATCAACTGGCGCTTCGCCGAAAGCATCTCGGCACTCAAGGGGCTGGAAGCCGCCATGATCAATGTCCTTCTGAAGCAGAAATATGGACTGGAACCTCAAGAAGCTGTCATAGATACGTGAGTTGAAATATCCGAGCTTCCACTTTAATGAAGAAAAAACCGAACAGGCCTGCAGCCTACATTAACATGGAAACCTACAAGATAGGTGACCCAGCGTCAATGTAGGCTGCAGGCCTGTGCGTTTTCTTTTTCTTGTATAAGGTGCTTCTATCATTAGGAGTCGTTGCCATCAAGTAGCTAACGCGTGTCGGTGAAGCGACCATGCGCAACTCTTCTTCATGTCGATCCTATTGAACGTCATCGATCCCGATGGCGAGCACATCGAGTTCTTGACGAAACCATTCGCGAGTGGATCGGACGCATACAACAGATATTTCAAGAACTGCGATCTGCATGATACTAGTAGGACTCCGTATCGCGTGGCGGCTACGAACATCTACCGGTGCAAAGATGGAAGGTACTTCCATTTACATGGCTCCATGAACCCTGAACCCACACAAGAGAGTGTTGGGTTACCGCATGATATGGACTTGGCTGAGTCGGAGGATCCATGGAAACAATACGAAGAGAAACTAGCAGGTATTGAATCCGACGAGATGCAAAGGTTGGCGTCGGATGTGTACAAGCAAGCTGGTACAATTTGCTGGACAACCGAGGAGTTCAAGAATAGCGAACACGGGAAAGCAAATGCCCATGTAGGCCTCTACGAGATCCACGATATCAAGAATGCGAAACAACCGGCGTGCTGGTGGCCCGATAGCTCGGAGACAGGTGTAAAGAGGCCACTCGCGGGTCTCAAAGTCGTCGACCTGACCCGTGTAATTGCTGCTCCAGCTCTAACCCGAGGCCTTGCCGAATTGGGTGCTTCGGTGATGCGAGTAACAGCTGAGCACGTTACTGACATGTCCATGCTACACGTCGATCTCAGCTGGGGAAAGTGGAACGCGCATCTGGATTTCCGGAAAGAAGAGGACAGAGAGAAGCTGCGCGCTCTGGTCCGGGAAGCCGATGTCGTGGTACAAGGCTATCGACCTGGTGTGCTGGACAAATATGGTTTCTCTCCCGAGGGCCTACTCGACCTGACGAAAGATCGAGAGCGAGGCCTCATTGTTGTGCGGGAGAACTGCTATGGCTGGTATGGTCCTTGGTCGTATCGCAGCGGGTGGCAACAAATCTCTGACGCGTGCTGTGGCGTCTCGATGGAGTTTGGACGAGCCATGGGCAATGACGAGCCTGTTACACCAGTTTTCCCCAACAGCGACTTCTGCACTGGTACTTCTGGCGTCATCGCCGTCTTGAACGCGATAATCCGAAGGGGTACTGAAGGCGGTTCCTACAAAGTCGATGTAAGTCAGCTCCACCGTTCGGTAGCGTTGTGGACGCTAACTTTTACAGATTGCCTTGAACTACTACTCCCAATGGCTGGTAAACAGCGTCGGCACCTATCCCACAGACGTCTGGGAAGATCTCTGGACACGCAATGGCCGCCAAGTATTCCGCCATTACCACAACATGCAGTATACGTTGCCGCGCTACATGAAAATGCTATTCGAGAATTCGGGATCCGTGCTCTTCAAACCCGATTTCTTCGAGATGCGACATGCGGGCGCGATCGGCAAAGACGTAAAGGGAGTCAAGCCGATCATCCAATATCCACAGGGAAATGTCAAGTTAGGGTACAGTATAGGCACGCGAGGAAATGGTGTCGACAAGCCGGTGTGGCCAAAGAACCTGATGACCGAGGTTGTCGCGTGATGTCATCTTTTTCGGCAAGGGTAGGGAGATAGCTGAAAGGGACGTATCAAGGCATAATTGTTTGTTGAACGGAATCTGTTGCGAAATCTGATCCTGGTGTGTTCAAGTGAAGAGGCGAAGAAGGAAAGTGAGATGCCGCTGGAAAAGCGCGCTAGCCCACGCGTCTTCACGTCTTCACGTGACTACAGTTTGATAGCCACCGGATCGTCTCACAAGCTCAACGTTTTTCACGCAAACCATGCGAACGAATATCCAAATACTGGCAGACTATCAAATGTAAGCGCACACCATCTAAGGAAACGGATGAACATCTATCCATGGGGGACAATGGATGTAAACCACCTAGAAGTCTACATTGCGTTGAGACTTTGCTAACTTCTATTTTGAACATTAATGTAGACTGCAGGGTGTTTAGTTCTTTCCTCGAATATGGATGGGCGATTATGCGAGACATCGTTAGAGTCAACGTCATTGGCACCTCCCATATCCACACGAAAAGCTTCATCATCAAGACTAAGCGCCATTGACTCATACATCCTTGACGTGACTCCTTTCAGCTCACATGTATATATTGCGCTACAGGTGAACCAGCCTTCGTAAGCCTCTGAACTGCTCCCAAGATATGCGATCAAACACACCTATCTCAATCCGAGCCTCTCAAACCATGGAAGCACTCCTCCACACCCACCGCCTAACCCTCCTCCGCCTAACAGACATCTCATCCCTTTCCTCCCTACACGTCCGCCTCTTCCACGAAAACTGGTCGAATTCCGACGCCACAGCATGGAGTTTGCACGGGCCCACGCATTCCCTCCCCGAAAGCTACGAGTGGATGAAAGAACAGTTAGGGCCTGTAATCGATAGCATGTTTTATTCTGTATTCGTCAAATCCGATACATCGAACTCAGCCTCTATTGGCGATGATGACACTGGGCTGGGGAAGCATATAGGCAGCGTAAGCCTACGTCTTCAACCTAGCGGTCCTTCTCTCCCAATCCCATCGACATTCACAACGACCAATACGAGGGTGCTGGGGTACGCCTTATTTCCATCAGCGTGGGGAAAGGGATATGCGACGGAAGCCGGTCATGCGCTGTTGAACGCCTATACTGCTTTCGTATCTTCATCTTCCTCATTCCCGGGCGCTCAAGAAGACAACGACGGAATCGAACCACAAAAAGGGAAGACGTACATCGAAGCAGCAGTAGACGAGGGTAATCCTGGTAGCGTAAAGGTATTGGAGAAACTTGGCTTCAAGAAACTGGGATGGAAGCATGAAGAGGGGCAAGTGTGGCTTAACGGAGCGTGGAGGAACCCTGGGTATTGGGTGTATGGGATGTTTGTTTAGTGTGCAAGTATGAGAAAGCACATGACTGAGGCTAGAGAAGAGGAAGTAATACATAAATACATAGCGAAGTGTGCAGACCTCCTTAAAAAGTATATTCCTACAGGAAATTGGTCACATGGCCACGTGCCTTACCAATCAGCGACTTCACCTTGCTTGGGCAGTGTCGCCCGAACAACTTTATCGCAGTTGAGTAAGCAAAGAGGATCGAATGCCTTCTTGAGCTGCCTCATTGCATCCACTGTAGTTTGACCCACTTCGTGTGGTAGGTAGTCTCTCTTGACGAGGCCGACGCCATGTTCACCTGTGGCTGTACCTTCGAGTTCGATAGCGCGCTTGACCATTTCATGGACGAGGTGGGAGGCTTTGTCGAAGTCCTGGTTGCGGTTATAGAGGATGATGGCTAGGACGATATGTAAGTGAAAGAATCGTAAGATGAGGTTGAATGCATGGACCTACAGTGGAAGTTTCCGTCTCCAACATGCCCTACGATACTGGCGAGAAGTCCACTCTGTCGAATCTTCTCTTTGGTCTCTTCGATGATTTGTGGCAACTTGGATATCGGGACGGCGACGTCTGTGGTCCAGACAGCCATGTCTGGGTTGCCCTCACCCTTGGCCATAACGCTCCAAAGTGCTTCCTTTCGCGCCTGCCATAGGTCCTCCTTCTCTTGTTCGGACTTGGCGAACTCAAAGCTTACTGATCCGGTCTTCTTGGCAAGACCTTGCACCTGGCTAATTTGTTCCTTGACGGAGCTCTGAGTGCCGGCGAACTTGAAGAAGAGCGTGGGGGCATTCTTCCAGGTCTTGGAAGTCTGTCCCGCGTCATTGATACATTGCATCTGAACATCATCGAGGATCTCAATTGCAGCGATAGGTACGCCAGCGCCAACGACCTTGAAGACGCAATCTGCTGCTGCGCGGATGGATGGGAACGCGCATACGGCTACACTGGTGTGTTGTG